CAGTTAATTCTTCCCTTTTACATTATACACCCTGCAATTATCTCTTAATATTTAATGATAAGAGAATATGTACAAATACTTTGTTTATTATTATCATTTTATTCACTCATCTTATCGAACCAAATATAAATTTGTCTAAAATTAAACTATCTTTTCTAAATTACAAACACTAAAAATAAATTAATCACCTATAACAACTATAGTAAATACATAAAAAATATTTTATCAATCAAGCTAACTAAATACTACTAAAAAGATTATACCAATCACTACATATACTTTAAAACTAAATATACCTATACTAAAACCAATACAAAAAATATTTAATTAACTAACACTAAATCTACAATAAAATATTCTTACTATAAAGTGTACCTACTAAATAATTTCTTGATAACTAAACTATAAGTAATTGTACAACTCATAAAACAAATTTTCATCTTAAAACTATAAATAATTCATTACTTATAATTAAACCTATATTATAAATGTTTTTATACATAAACAAAACTTATAATAGCTAAAATAAGTTATGTATTTACTTATTCTATTTCATTATTATTAAATATAACAAATAAAATTATTCATCCGGTTAAAAATCTTTTATATTACAGAATAACTCTTCAATTACATTAATAAAATAATATACTTTATCTAATCTGAAAATTAATGTAAGTTAATAATAAATATAAGTATCATATTGATTAAAGATTATTTCTTCATTACTTCTATTAACACAATATTCTTATTAACTTAGTAAGTTTTAATTTATTTCCTTTTTTATTATCTATTTCTTTAACTTATCCTTTAATTATAGTATCCAAATCTATTTTTATAATTATTGTATTATTATGTATAATATTTAACTTATAATTTTCAGATAAATATAAATAATTAATAAAATATTTAAAGATATACAAAAATAATAGGCAAAGTATGCTCATATATAATGTTATAATTAAAGTTTGAGTATAAAAAAATTTGTAATAAGATGAGAGAAGGTATAATAATTAATAGATTATAAATTATTTATATAATATAAAATGTTAATACAAAATTCTATTATCTTACAGGTAAAATATTTAGTTTAAGTAACTATAAGTTAAAAATAATTAATCTTTTAATATTAATATTTTAGTGTTACATGTTTTAATATTATGTGATATAAATATAGTTAGAGTAAGAATATTAGTTTGTAGAGATTTTTATTAAATTATCTAACATAAGGGTAGGTTTAACAATTACAGAAATAATAAATTTTTTTAGTATTAGTGAGAGTAATAATTTATTAAAAATAGTAAGTAGCAATATTTTATATATAGAACAATATTATTTAACGATTATCACATGAAAGTTAATTTAACATTAATAGATTTTAAAATAAAGTAATAAAACAATCAATATTTGGTAAATGAATATAAAACTTACAAGATTTTAGTTTACAAATAAAGTAAATAATCTTAATAAATTTAAAAATAACATTTATTTAAGGTCTGTAATAATTTTTAAGTATATTTTACAAGTTTATCAATTTAAATAAACAGTTTAATAACAAAGATAATATTAACGATATTATAATAGTTTTAATTATTATTTTATATTAAATGTTATTTTAGTATTAGTTTTTTTTACAATGTTTATATGATTCTTATCAACCTATTATTTTATATAAAACTTATCCTATAATGGCTCTATTCTCAATTTTTATTTTCCATATTCAACAACTACTTCTTATATTCTGCTTTTAAGTATACATTTTATCTATTCTTTCAATTATTTATACTTATAATCCCTCTTTTTTAACATCTACCCCTTAAACCAAGGTCTTATAAATTATAAAACTCACATTATATAAATTTAAACTGTAAAAATACTTTATATTTAACTATGTAATAGAAATATATAATCTAACCTTATACTATTTAATTTTAAATATTTCTAGACTTTTAATATATTAAATCTATTTATAAATACATTAACTACCTAATACCTTTCTACTTTATTTACTATAAATCAGAGTTATAACAAAGTAAGTTAAATAGCTATAAGGTAATTACCTTATTTTTTTTTATATAAAAATTAAGTACAATAAAATAATAACTTAATGAATAACCTAATAT